AGTGGATGCCCCACTGAGAGAGAAACACTTTCCCACCAATGGTGCTAAATCCAAGAGAGTATCTGACCTCCTGCTTGTTGATATTATCTGGTATGTAGCGGTGAACAGAATGAGATTGAACTGGGAGATAAAACAGTGCAAACAGTGGGGAAAAGAATATAGATACATGGATTTTTGTTTGTTGGCAATAGTGCACATTAATAAAGGAAGCAATTACACATACAAAATCACTTGCTGAACATTTTAATAGTTTGCGAAATATACAGCTATTAGAATTACCTAAATATCACTCATAATTAAATTACAAAAAGTTGGTATATAGCATATTCTATTGGTCTATAAAATAATGGACATGTTATACATCCACAATACCCCCTGCAGTCCAGTAATGGCAAAAAACAAAGTATGAACTACAGTCAAACATATACAAATTAAAGGAGATAGAGTGACATAATTTAGACATTTGAACCAAAGAAACTGAAACCAGACTAGGTACATTCATCAAGTACAAGAAATTTAGCATTGTAGTTTTTAAAGTCACCAGTTAATAACACAGCTTTAGGTGCACTTTCACATGCTTTCAAATATCTTCCAGTACACATCCCAGGGTAATAAAGTGCCTTTGTTCACTCTAGTTTCACTTATATTCAGGTGCAATATACATCACACTTGGAAAGCGTTACTTCATAGCAGATTTATTAATATCTCATTGAGCAGATTAGTTTCAAGTCCCAATGTTTATACAATTTAAAAACAAGGTGTTTTAAAAGTACATTTGTTCCTGGTTACCACTCTTCTGCATAATCTCCTTATTTCTGTTGGATTTCATATAATCAAAATGATTTCCAACAAGAATTAACTCCAAATATGTGGGGCCCATCCTTATGAAATAAAATTATGGAAAAATATTTCCTGAAATTCACTTTTCCTATAACAGATTTTTTTTTTTTTTTACTGTGTCAATTATGACAAACATTTGCAATTTGGAAGTTGTAATGTTCACTGGTGCTTTAATTAACGATTTATGTACAATGGCAAATGTGCAGTATTTAGCCTGTGGATATGTAATTGAATGAACTTCACAGTAAGACTTACTACAATATGTTTGTAATTCAATGGACAGCATGAGCAAGTACCATAGGAATGAGATACATAAAAGCTTAAAGTCTTTGGACATTATCTGTAATAGTTACTTGCATTGCAGGATTGAGCAGATGTCCCACTCATTGTATACAATGATCCTTTACTGCTTTCAGCTGTACTACTTTAACCACCCCAAGCCCAGCACTGAATATTGATTACATTAAAACAACAGTCTTGTTTTCATGCACCATGCTTTGAAAGGTTCTCTTTTAAACACAGACACCGCTAGTTTCATAAAACCTAAGATAACTAGTTTCCAACCAGATTACATTTCAGATTACATTACTTTTTTGATGGTGACAAATGTTAATGTACAATTGCATTTTCCACATTATTTAAAGCATTTGGGCAATGTTCTCCAGAAGGTGTACCTTAGTTATATAGATATGGGACTTTTAAAAAAAAAATTATCATCATTAAAATCCTCTTTTAAGCATTCCATATGATGCTTTAGATGCTACATATGTGAGGTCACTAAAGGTATCAAAGCATGAGCTGAAGGCACTCAGCAGGGAAGATTATTGCAAAAAAGTAAACAATTAAATAAGCAAATAATAGTTTTAAATAGCAGATGTGGACAGGTTTATATAGAAGGCTATTAAAGTAGTCCAAGTCTTAAAAAAGCCAATAAACCTAAAATTGTTAGCCCCTACCAGACATGTTAGTGGTTCTACCCTTTCTTCCTCTTCCTAGGCCAGGTCTACACTACCCGCCTGAATCGGCGGGTAGAAATCGACCTCTCGGGGATCGATTTATCGCGTCACGTCGGGACGCGACAATCGATCCCCGAATCGACGCTCTTACTCCACCAGCGGAGGTGGGAGTAAGCGCCGTCGACAGGAAGCCGCAGAGGTCGATTTTGCCGCCGTCCTCACAGCGGGGTAAGTCGGCTGCGATACGTCGAATTCAGCTACGCTATTCACGTAGCTGAATTTGCGTATCTTAAATCGACTCCCCCCTGTAGTGTAGATGTAGCCCTAGACTTCATATTACTTCCAGTTTAAACAGAATGTAAAATAGTTTCAATGGTGTTCAAAAGTTTTTAGGTTGCAAGTAACAAATGTTCACATCCTTATGTAGTTCATTCTTTTTTGTTGTCATGGACTAAGGGCCTGATCTTGCATACTTTCTTATCCAGAACTCCCACTGAAGTCTATAGGAGTTCTCTGTACACAATAAATGCGTGATTGGCACCCTAGGCATATTGATTTATGCCAATAACTTGATTACTCTGTTAATCCAAATCAAGTAATCTTTCCTACTCAACAGTCTATAAACCCCACACGGAAATGTAGTGTTATGTAGAAGCAAAAATACAGTCCAACTGCACACTAGGGAAAAAATTAACAGTTTGAGAATATTACAAGCTCCATGTTAAACACTGTTCATAGTGAAGATTTTATAGTTTTAACTTGTAAAACTAGCTGAATAAGTTATTCAACAATTCATAATGGTATAATAATTTCCAACTTCATTTGAATCTATGCAACAAATTCCACCAATATGCAAAAATATCAAGAATGTAAATGCTTTGTTATAAAAATGTATACAATTTAAATTCCTATTAGGTAAACCTGTACACAATTCCCACAATTACATAGCTAGAAAGTCTTTAGACTATATTCACAAAAATACATTTAAAGCAACATTTTCATGAATTTTCCCTTTTGACAACTGATTTTTTTTGTTAGATCAAATGTCTTTCATGCTTATTGCTTAAATCAAAACACTCATTTAATCAGATTTAATCAATAGATAATAGTGATCAGGTATTACTCCAGTCAGTTATTATTTGTTTTTATTTAACAGAAATACCCATAAGTTTCACTAATATTTAAGTGAAGACTACTGAGTAACTGTTCTCTATAGTGTACAGTTCATACACGTATAATATGGGGATTGTAAAGAGGGGACACAGACCATATGAAAAATTAGGCCCAAAAGAATCAATGCTAAAACACATGCATACTGGTCAGTGTGTCTTCCTTTTGTTTACCGTTGATTTTTGTAATCGGTTTACCAATGAAAGTCAAGGTACTAGTTTCAGTGATCTAACTACATTTCCAACTAAAACTGAAAATGTTGATTTGAACTGTACAAGACACTAATATATTAACCTAAAATGTGCAAAAATAGTCTGAATGTAGTAATTTTGCAGGCTTAAACTCACTGGAGATACTATGTTGAAGCACTTCCACAACAAGCATTCAGCTATACCTAATTTCAGATTAAAAATACTAGTTCTATCTTCTGAGTTGCAGTTTTAATTAATAGAAAATATATCTGTAATTTCTGTTAAAAAAGGATATAATTATTTAGATTATTTTATTCAAAATAATCTGACAATTTAATATTCCAGGTGCATTGCCTGCCATAATCAACACAGCCATAATCAACACTAAAAGGGCATTCAAATACTTAAGACATATATATTACAGTACAGACAGGAGTGCACACACATTTCTGACTGGGAGAAGACAGATCATTTTCCAACAACCGGCTCCATGGAATCAAAAAAGTTTGATTTCCCTCGCACAAATGTAGTAATAGGCAACAGAGATGAATTACAGGTGAAAACTCAAATGCAACTATAAAGTGGATTTTCTACTGCTTTTTCTATAAAGCATTTTGAATATAATTGGGAAAATTGTCATTAACAAGCTAAACTACTCTAATTGCCATAAACAGGCTAGAATAGTGTTAACTACTTGTAGGACAGAACAAAACAACAACACACAGAAACAAGAACACAATTGCAACAAAATGAAACTTTCCCAGGAATATGACTTAAATCAATACTCCTAACTTCTGGTGAGCATCAGAGAGTCTACATTTAAGCTTGTAAAGGAAATGCCACCAAAACATAAAATATCCTTTATTATTTTCCTTTAGCCTTCACTACACTTTGCATAAAATTTCCATTAAAATGACTATGTTCCTATTTTTGAACAATTATTTTTTCCATGCTTTGAATACATCTTGCCTTGCAAATTGCTTGTTTTAACACTAAGGTATTATCAAATATTAACTTTAAAAAAAAACAATTTAGTTTACAACCTATTGTGTTGTACTTTTATTTTGCTTCTAATTAAATAAGTATCTCAGCATCTAAATGTTGAGACAGCCTGATATCAAAACTAGTTAGATTGAAAAGGCAATTATCTCTTTCCAAAATACAAAACTGTTTCTAAAAAAATTTGCAAAGGGATTTGTACAAATGAGTGCACAGTGCATAACACTATATTGAGAAGCAAGGCCACATTAAATCCATATTCAGAATTAATAAATATGTAATTCCAAGAGCAGAGTTCATTCTAGCCATTTTATTTTGGGGGTTTAACTTCAGCATAAAGCATCTTTCACAACATTCTAAGCATCTCATACTGCTGACTATGTATGCAATTTAGGATAGCAGCATAAACAGCACCTAAAGGGGCACGCAAAATATACTTGGACGTTCCATCACAAAACTAATGCATATGAATCTTTATTTTGCCTGTACACAAAAACAGATTTGCTTTCAAATTACATAGCTTGCTTGTGTGTCAGTAATAAGGATCAAATTTAGCCCTGGTGTAAGTAAGGTACAACTCCAGTGAAGTGAATGAAACCGTACCAGATTACACAAGGGTTAAATTTGGTCTTACAGTTACAAGGGCTCCTCTGCATGTCCCACTCATGGCTTCTATTAGGCACTGCCCTACAGAGGAACTCTGAACATTTAATAGAAAATAATAAATAAATAAACCAACAGGCAGAGGAAATCACAATATGTAATAAATGTTCCTTTTAAAAATGCCACGTTTTGTTTTGCTTTTTTTGCTATAATGTCATCTTTAGAAGAAAGGAATCTGATGGAAGTTCTCCAGTTCTCCATTTAATCACAATGGCAGAAAGATAACCTGAACAGGCTTAGGAATTTTACATCAAATACAAGATGGGATTTCTAGATTTTACTTTTTCCTTTTAAAACATAAAGACTTCTCACTCAAATATACAATTAAAGTCATTTTCATTTATGATTCTTTAGTCCAGCATTTCAATACCACTTACACATTAATTACATTGTAGTCTGTCGACTATGAACTTACATTAAGGGCTACCCATGAGAAAGGGGAAGCTCCTACCAGTTTTTAGAATGCAGCAATATCATGCCATTTCTTTAAGAAGCACCACTTGATATGCTGGTTGCTAAATTAGAATTCAGCATGTAAATAGGATTTCTCTCAAAGTAGGGTTACTCCAGTTTTAACAATGTAGTAATCATCGGAGGGCAATACTGAGGACATCAGCCTAGTTTTCTGCCTATCTTCCAACAACCTGTTAATTTAGATATGGCTCAGTGTCAAGGCTAGGTTGACAGACATCATCTAACCTAAAGCAGTTATCGGGAGCTACCTCAATCATTAACTCTGAGATAGCACTTTTCCTTTGATTTGGGCAAAGCATGTTTCATTACATTAATTCAGATATCCACTATCACCACTTCTTGAACTTCCTAAAAATTGTATCCTTTCATACTTTACTAATCAACTACCAATTAATTTTCCTGAGTAAGAGTATAAAAAGTTAAACCCTTCTACCAAAAGTACAAAGACAAATAAAATGTAGTAGAACAATACAAACCCAGTTATACAGCATTACAAGAGCAGAATTTTTTTATGTTGTTGCTTTTCGTTATCATTGGCCCCCACTAAAATCCATAACAAAGAATTTAGTTATCCAAAATATTTTGAAGTACAGTAATTAAATTCTTCAGACCATAAATGTAGCCCTTGTCCTTTGTGTTACTAGGAAACACATGAGCAAAATCTATCATTTTGACTTCTACATCTGCATTTTCCTTCATCTCTTTGGGCATATGGCAGAAAACCTTTTCCAGTTGGGGTATAACATTTCCATTTAGATGTTCTTGGGAAATGCAAGTGCTGCTTTTCCATACATTGTCTTGCTCCAGGTTTTCGGTTTTTAGTGAGATCTGACTGTGGTGCCTCTTTGAATATGCCTTTTTGTGAAATGCATAAATTTTAGGCAAGCTTTTACCTACAGAGGCCTCTCTTTTTCCATTCTCTGTAGAATTTATTACATGAATATTATTATTATACTCCAGTAAGTCTCCATCTTGTAACAGTCCTTTAGGCACTACTCTCTTCTCTGCTAAAGTGCCATCACTCAACCTTGTGGCTGTCAGCTGACATGAACCTTCATAAACAAACAGTAATGAACTTGCATAGAAGTTAAGCTGCTCCTGGCTCTCAAACCACTGCAAGATTTTTTCAATCTTTTGAATACTGGCAGCAACAGCATCTTTTCTCAAGCAGTACCCATTATGAAAAAACCTGGACATTCCTGAAAAAAGAAAACAAACTTTCAGGATAAGTAATGTTATAGTATATGTATTGCTTTTAAAATCAACATTAAAAAGGATTTTTTTCCTTCTATTACAGTGGTAAGCTTTTGGGTCCAAATCTGTTCTCACTGATTTCAGTGGCTCAAAATCAAGATACATACAATATGTTCCTTTCTATACACACTTAAAATTCAAATAAATTAGAACTATATTGCATATCTAGCAGTATACATAGCACTCATAAGTATAAAACTGAAAGTATTGAAAATTGACAAATTTTTTCACAGAACAAGTGCAGCAAGGAAACCAGCCAAATAAGTTGTCAATCATGTCACACTTTCAATATGCATCAATCTTTTAGTGGGGAGACCAATGCTCCCAGGAAGAACGAGCAGTTTGGTCTCCATGCTCAAGTAGTCCTTGGTTTCTTTACTAGGACAGTCAACAAGGTGACAAATTAGTGCAGATGTGGAGGAATTTTTGTTAAATGGACATGTTTCAATTAGGAATTGGTTTGAAATAAACATCACAAAGATCATAAAACAGCCATATGGTGGCAACCTTTGTTGTGTACTGACCTGGCCCAGCTTTGAACAGGCTGGTTTTAGAGAGAAATAATTTTATTCTGAAACATACAAAGGCCACTGCACCACCCATTCTGCTGCAGTTATTTAGGAAGTTGATACAGGTTCATTTTAAGATGCATGTTCAGAAGGTAAGGGTGGGCTTAAATTCAGGAAAACTGACGTAAGTAAACATACATTTACAGCAGCCTTATCATAAAAGAACATAATGCATGCTCTGTTATATGATCTTTCAAAGCTAATTTTTTATCATCTGATGTTGTGTATTTAACACTCTTGTGAATTTATTCTACTAAGTCATATCGGCACAGAACAATTTACTTGTATTCTACCACAAATTACCTCCTTATTCACAAGAAACAAATGTACTGGGACATTTACTGTAATCTGCAGAGCTATTTAGGCCAAAATGCCTAAGTTTACTTGGACTGCCACTGATTAATTCAAATGCCACCCGAGCCTGTTGCAGATCCAGCAGGTTATCCAGTGCACAGGGGTCCACAAGAAAATAGAAAATATTTAGAGTCTGAAATTTCCTATTCACCCAGTACTATGTGCATGTGCACATCCATCCACATATACTTTAATTCACTTACCCTCTTTTATTGTTTCTTTTGTTAAGCTTCTTCCATAGTGCTGGTTTTGTGTCTCATAACTGTCGGAATGAATATGGTAAACCTGCAAAAAACAAAGGGAATATTGAATTCATCCAGAGCAGCTGATATTCCTGTATAGCTATGAGTCATGTAATAGACATACTAAGAAAACTTTGATAAATTTGTCCCAGTGAATCATACTACCAGATTTTAAGAGGTCAACACTGCCCTCTTGTGCTCTACTATGCCAATTACCAATCTGATCCAATTGTACTTTTTAAGAACACTGACTTTGGTAGTGATGAAATACCCACAACTATCATTATCAACAACTTATTGCTATCTTGTAAGCAAACACTTTATAGCGCTGTCTAATATGGATTTATTTGGCAAACCAGAAAATAACATTCTACTACAGGTTTAACTACTTGCAGTAAGTTATTCCCACAGTAATACACTCTGGTGTAAAACAAACTCAACAAGCTTATAAAAATCAAGCCTAATTTTAAAGTTTCATAATTTTCAAAGTATGAACTATTTCAACAAGTTTACTAAGATAAGAAGTAATGTGGTTCCCTCTGCCAATCGGTAGCAGATTTTCAAGGCCTGACAGGTGAGTTTTTCATTTGGAACTGAAATTGGTATCAATCCAATTTTTTTTAGGCATTGTCTGCACTACAAAGCTGTATGTTTTAGCAAAAGCAGTACAAGCCTTTTAGTATGGATGCAGTTATAGCAGCATAATGGTGCTTAATATTGTATAGTTATTCCCATACAAGAAGGAGAATAAGCTGTACATACGGGTAGGGGAATATGCTGTACCACATAACTGAGCCACAGTAGAGTTTGCACCGGTGTAACTATTTCTAGTTTTTTTTTTTTTAAATTGCAACCCTGACAGTTAGTTATACCAGGACAAAACTTGCTGGTCAACCAGATCTACGTACAATTTTTTTTTTTAAACAACATTTACACAAAGCCTTGCTTTCAGAAGCAGGGATGTTTAACAACATGTCAAATAGGGACTTGTCTCTGGCAGAAACCTCATGCCTGGCACCTATGCTCTGTCCCAAGAAACAATGCTCTCGCGTTTTCTCCAAACAGTGCTAAGAGATCTAAACAAACTTGTAGCGAAAATTGCCTACTTAATACACTGGCCTTGTCTTCACTGCGTGCTAACCTCATGCTCACCCCCCGTTTTCCTCCAAGTGCTGTATACATTCACACATCCACACTGCTATCAGTGCCACATGGCAAGGCAGCAACCGTGTTCTGAACTGTAAGGCAGACGAGGTAGTTGTTATCGTGTGTTGGTACAAGGTTAATGCAGTTAATAGGTGCAGTCATGGGCATACACAATAAATTGAGGTATCATAGTCTTCCAATCCCTTCCTATAATCCCACTGGGCATCCATTCCTGCGTACTACCTTGCGATCTGCCTGTGCCTGTCCACGTTCATATCCCTCTGCTCAGTGTCCATGATCCAAATTGATTGCTGTTGCTCCAGGCTTCCCCAACCCATGTTTCAAACAACAGTACAATGGCCCCTGATAAGGCTGCACATCAGAATGCAGCCATCTGGCCATATGAACACACCAGAATCTTGATGCAGCTTTAAACTGAAGTGAGTAAAACCCATGACTTGAACAGTACAAAGAGGAAAATCAAACTAAGGTATATCTAAGAAGCTGTGAGAAGAACATGGGATCAAGCAGATCAGACAGCAGGGCAACAAGAAAAAGGGGCTGACTCAAGGTGAGCAACTGGAAGACCAGGAATAAGAAGAAATCAGTGATATCCCTACACCCATCTGCTTTACAAAGAACTGGACCATATTCCAAGCACCCATGTGAGCACGAAGGCCCATTTCACCACAGAATCATCTGTACAGCTGGGATGGCTGAAGGCTCAGAGCCCAGAAGCTCTGAATCACAGGACATGTTCCTTCTTGTATCCCAGGAACATCGCTAAGTGGTGGAGGTTTCCCAAACATAAAAAGCAGGAGAGGACTTAGCATCTCAGGTCAGTAAGTCGGAGGCTGCTATCTTTTTTATTATAAAGAATTCTATGAAATAATAGAGTGGTTTCTTAGCCTATAATTCTAGCTTTGGCTTCAACTGAGGGAGGATGTAACACAATTATGCTCACCTCCTAATTCCCTCTCTCCCCCACCGAATTCTCAATTTCCAAATCACACTGTTCAAAATGGTGGACAAGCAGAGACAAAAATCTAACCAGCACTTACAGCTGATGAATGCAGTAGCTTATTTAATGAAAATGCTTTAATATAAAAGTTAGGAAGTTTGTGGCCACATCTCAACTAAAACGTAAATTTTCATAATCTAACATCCCAAACACCTGCATGGTAAGATACCAAACCAGTACTGTAGCAGCTGGTTTATTACTGTTCTGATTTTAGTCCATTTGACTCACACACACACACACACACACACACACACACACACACACACACACACCCGTGTCACTCTCTATCTGCTCCAGGGCACCAGAAAGAAACCAGATACAACACTAATGATTTATACATTGATTTGTATTCTTTAATGTATGCATAAACATTAAATCTGAATACAAGAAAACAGCCTCAATGCACCATACAATTCAAATGTGCCATGCAATCTCATTATTCAGCCCGTGTGTTCTCCCCATGCAGCTTGAATATGCAATCACAAATGATATCCCTTATGGCTTTTGGTATAGCAGATCCTGTGGCACTCATATGTTGGTTATCTCTAAATACACCTCAATTCACAATTGTCAGCAGCCCTGTCCATACAAAAGTATTTTCCCTCATGCTCAAGTATACTGTTGGGCATACAACATGCTCTAATCACACATATAGCATTAAAGATGCTACAGTCCAAACAAGTCAGTCAGCAGCACCATCATGCCTTTAGAGAGACAAGGTGGGCTGGTAGTACCTTTTATTGGACCAATTTCTGTAACTGTTTAATGATCTACTGCATGGATTCCAGTGTGGTGTGGTAGGTGACAACTAGGGATGTGTAGTTTGAAGACTCCCTCGCCCCATATTGAGGTAGGTTCTCTCGGGGTATTTGAGTAGTCCATTCCATGACATGACCTATTTCTCTGGTGGAATGTCCTCGTTTGGTGAACGTGACTAAGCGTGTTAAGGTGCATATCCCAGACTTTCTTCCCTGAGCATATTCTGTGGTATCTGAGTGCCCGGCTGTAGTTAACAGATCTCTTGGCGTGTTTAGCATGGTTACTGGTATATACTTATCTGTAGGGTCCCATTGCTGAAGCATACTGTGGTGTACAGGAAGTCGATGCTAGTGTGGGTGCGTTCTAGAGAGTTCTCGCCACTAGTCAGCCAAAGACACATTCAACCACTTTTCTGCACTTGCTCAGCATGTCGCTTAAGTGCCTCTTGTAGTGCTGGCACACATCAGGTTAAGGCTGCAAGCACCAGGGCAGCAATGGATATACTGCGTTGCCTAAAATCAAGATGACATAGCAGCTTAGCCATGTTGAAACAGGCCAGACTTACGGAACATCCTGGCATCATGCACACCCTGTCAGTGCATGCAGCATAGGTGTCCATCAATATTCCATGTGGTCCACAAGGGCCTGCAGAACGACGAAGTAATACCCTTTCTTGTTAATATATTGGCTTGCTGGAAATGGTACATGTATCCCATCAATTGCACCTACCCAGTTTGGGAAGCCCCTCTATTCAAACCCCATTATTTGAATGTGGGGCCAGCACAGCATTAGTTGCCTTGCAAACCTCTGTTACTACTGCACCAACTGTAGATCTCCTAACCCAAAAGTGATCACCAACAGATCTATATAGCACTCTGGGGTTGCCAGTTTCCCTAGGGTGGTGGCAACACACTTTTGAACCTTTACTTGGTTCTCTCATCTGATTGCTTGGTGAGGCAAGTGCCAGGGCAAGGTCCCCACAAAGCTCCATGAATGTGTCTTCATGTGAAAGTGCTGGGCCCACTGCTGGTCATCCTATGTTTCCATCACAATGCAGTCCCCTCAGTGTGTGCTTCTGTTCTTGGCTCAGAAGTGGCAATCTGCATAGAGGTCATCTACCATTAAAAACTGCATCAGCTCAGTTCACATTGTTCCATTCAGTGGCGGCTGCTGTGCTACTTCTAATAGCAAATTAGAAGTGTCTTCTCTGTTCCAAGACAGATTTTGAAACCCCTGCCAAAGTTCCCTGGCAGCAGCTTCAGAAGAGGCACAAAAACCAAACACTGCTTTCATAAAAAGCCTTGGTCCTGGTAATTAGGGAGAGTAGAACCCATACCTTCCGCATGTAACACCACACTGCACCAGTAACACAAACACCCTACTTGACTAAAGGCTAGTGCATTAAACTCCATCTCCTTAATTAGTCTGAATGCAATGACCCCTAATGGCAAAGCATTAAAATATTTTGAAGGAGTTTTGTTTTAAAGTTATCATGACTCTTTCTTCAGCCCTTACTCCAGCAAATGCCAAATGACCTCAGCATTTTGCTTTAATGAGACCCATTATATTTTTCTTTGGGCACCCAATGTCTCTTCTTTACACAGTGTCCTTTCCCTTTATCATTTTTGGGTTTTAATAGTTATATATTCTTCAGCACATTAACTGTGCACCCCTCCACAACATGGTCCATGAAACAAGAGATTACCTCCCAGTGGATCCTATACATCACCTCCAAAACATACATATACCATTGACATTCTGAGAGTCATTCCATCTCTAACTCACAAATTATTCATCCCAGGAGGTTGTGTACTTGCTAATAATTTTGTTTGTTTTACTATTTTAATGACAAGACTCCAAAATGGACAGCTAAAAAATTAAGGAGAGCTGCTGCTGTTTCACAACAATGGTAAGATGTGTTCTTTGGAAGAAAAAGCACCAAATTATTGTCACATTCTGGGGTGCAATTCAGAACAGTGATGGTTGTGTCACCACCTGCCCTGTAACACTGGTGCCTCACAATGCTTTGTTATTGTAGCTCCCAATCTGGGCCACTCACAACCATCCTACCCTGAATATCTGTGTAGAACTGCAGCCCTAGTCTAGCAGCCTGCCACCTTCACACCATACCAGCCCCACACTGGATTCCTCCGCCCTTGGTTATAAGCAGCAAGATGACGCCAACACACTCCAGTCCTGAACTTCCCCAGGCCTGTGTGCTCTGATATGTCCAGCCCTCTCCTGCAATGTACAGAGGAATAAGAAGATCCATTTGCTTCTTTAAGGAGACAACATACACCAGTTTGCCACACTAACTGGAGTTAACATTCACTCTTGTACAAATACAGTACTGTTGGTTTAGATTAACAGTAAAACAAGTTTATTAACAAAAGAAGATAGAACTTTACGTTAGTTCAAGTAGAAGAGAGAAAGTTAGAAATGATTACCAGCAAATAATAGTGAAAACACGTATTTAAAAGTCTAAAATTTAATCTATCAAGTTTTGATTCAACACTTTGTTCAAGCTGGCCTCTCTCACCCACAGTCTTCCAGCAAGATGGTGACTGGCACTCTCTTCAGTCAGGATCTCTTCCAGAGGCGCTGGTGCCTTTGTCTTCTTCGGGGAAAGAGATAACTTTGGGTTTTCTGCTCCTTTCTTTTACAGTCCAGCAAACCTTTGAAATAGATTATTCTGAAGGTTACCCCTCAAAGCAACTTTTATTCAAGCAGTGAGGAAGGCAACACGGAGTCTGGTGGTGAAGAAGTTGCCATGGTCTTTTTTCCCCCCTGCTGCTGTGTTTGCTGGAATGTGAATTGTTCTGTTCCCTGCCATCTCCTTCCCTGGCTGTCTTGATGATCCTGTTTACCACTTATATGTAAATTGGGGGTAAACACACATTCCTTTGTTTAGAATGATGAGTTTAACAACTTTTGCCTAGTTAGAGCTGTCTGGTTTTGAACATGTGCTAATAACATCATACAAGGGGGGTTACATAATTTTACATGTGTTGCTACATATATTTCACCATGATATTATTGACCAGCAAGTTAGTCGTTTTCGAGTGATACCTCACAATGCATATGTTGTACAAATATTATTACAACAGTATGTAGGGTGTGAATACAGGGGTGCTTTGGGTAACAGTTATGTAGATGGTCTATGTATATGTACTGCAAAATCATTACAAAAAATCTCTCTCACTGGAGTTGGGTGCAAACTTTGTATTCCACTATGCCTATGACAACCTGTTTTGATGCAACCATTTCCAGGGGTTCTAACGGACAAGGGTGTCACCACACAGTTACTGTCCAACACTAGTCAGAAAGAGTTACCTGGTAACTATTTAGAGTATTGATTTACACAGTATTCCTACAGTTCAAAAGAAAAGAAGAGAACCATCAGGTCCAGTGAATGGATATTTTAGCATCTTAATGTACCAGAGTGTTATGGTTACGAATATATTTCTCAATATTCCTGTGCATTAATATAAATACTGTGAGGCTACCCAAGTTACAAATGGATTTAGCTGCAATTCCTCCAGTATATATATAATATATATATATATATTTTTTAAACTACATATATATATATATTTTTTAAACTACATTTAAAGACTGTCTAATCGAAAAATATATATAAATTATAGTTAGGAATTTTGTTTCCAATATCTAAGGACAGTTAACCATAAAAATGGTACTCAATTCTATTCAAAAACATCTTTTCTGGATTCAATAGAAATGACCTATTGGAGTGTTCTAAACAAGTCTGACATCTCAAATACAACAATTCCTTTTCTGATAATCAGTGGAGTTGAAACCCAGGATCTGATAGGAATACTCTATTATACCCCTTACCTAACCTTACTCAATCATTACCTTGTGCCAAACAACAGTAATACACCTCTACCCCGATACAACGCTGTTCTCAGGAGCCAAAAAATCTTACCGCATTATAGGTGAAACTGCGTTATATTGAACTTGCTTTGATCCACTGGAGCGTGCAGCCCCGCCCCCTCCCCCCCGGAGCGCTGCTTTACCGTGTTATATCCGAACTCGTGTTATATCGGGGTAGAGGTGTAGTTGCATAGTTACAGCTGCATTCCTCTCTGTAACCAACTCCTTCTCCATACCCAGCACAATTAATTAAAACAACCTGACTTCTTGTTCAACCATGTTTTCTTCCCACTCAGATGCTGTTATCAACAACAAGACTCCCTTCCCCAAATGAATTTGCCTCTGGACCAAACTGTTTCAACCCAGGTGTTGCAACCAACAGCACTAGCTCATTTTTGTCAAATACATTAGCCAAGAATATGACAAGCCAAACCTGTAACCTTCTTCATAATGCAAAAAGTGATTAGACAGGAAAGATATCTATTTACCCTCCCCTTTACAACTATAGTTCACTGACTGCAAGGAATATGCCCACTTGATCTCCATTCAACATCCCAGGGGAAGGTAAAATCTCAAGGTCCTGCCAAAATCACCTAAAATAAAAAATTTTCCTTCAAAAGTTAGCTGCCATTTTTGCCCTATGCATGTGACCAAGAATCGCTGCATGTATCTGATCCCACTAGACCCCAAACAAAGACCATGCATCTGGTTCTTTGTGGGCAGATCTGTGCACCAATGAAGAGCCCCAAGTTAATGGGTTTCCACATGGGCAGACCCAGATGCAGAATTGGGGCCCAGCACACCAGTCTCTTTTTCAACAGATGTTAATAATGTGAATTCTACAAGAGAAGAAGGCAAAGAAATTCAAATAATGATTAACTTTCAAAGAAAACCCTCCTCATATGAACTCAACCAGGACTTTGTTCTTGTTTCCAGGCGTGTCAATGTGTTATCTTATTTCTGTTTAGTTCAAACAGATCCTCGTGTGAGAGAGATCTCTTTTTAAGTACAGTTTTAGTTAACATTACATATTTGATTTAATGTAAACCTCAAATTCAAAAGAAAAGGTGGATCCAATATTCTCCTTTTAAAATGTTTAATACATTAATAAAATGACTGGGTTGAAAATTTGCAACTCCAAATATTAAGTTGTAAGACTGATTTACAGAAATCAAGGCAAATATTACGTTATATTACTTATACTAATCCAGTACTGATTTTCAGGGCAAGACAGTGAAATATACAAACTGTTGAAAATCATAATCTATGGTTGTCCTCCCTCCCCCCCGATCCTCTACAGACCTTCATCTAAATATTTATCAAATAAAGTACTATTCTGGTTTCATAAATAAATATCTAGATTAAATATTTTTCAGACTTCTTGAACAAAAATCAGTTTTATAAATTTGCAAATTAAGCTTCATTACTGATTCTGAAAACATTTAAAAGATGATCACTTATTATTCAGAAGTGCTTTTATTTATTCATTCGGTCTCATTTATTTTTACATATAAATATATTTTATAAAATTATATAATTATACATACAGCGTTCTGTTTACATAAAGGTATCCCTGCTCTTACAGCAAGAATCTTAAATATCAATAGCCTGCCTGCTCAAAGATTGGAAGAGCCAGGCAGAAAGGAACGCGTGACATGATGAAACACAGAAAAAAATATTGAGACATTTTGATGCAAATCAATATAGTTCCATTATACCAGCAGAGGACCTGGCCCACTAAGCTTTGACAAGCACTTTTTTTTTTGGGGGGGGGGAGGGGAAGAGGGAGGGGATTAAGGATTTGAAAAACCTCTAGGAATTCTTTTATTCTCTCATTCTAATACCCTTAATCTCTAGTAATGGCTGGTATTGTATTGTTATTGACAAGGACTGTAAATTCACTTAGAAATGTTGACATATGTACTCTCTTTTGCACTGACACGATGAAGGTACAAAATCTCACTGCTGCTGAGTGAGAAAGTCACAAAGATACAAAGTGTACAGTTTGTTCTCTGGTTTATAAACAACAGATCTGGTTTATGTGCACACTGGTTTAGGAGAACAGCTCTGAGTAAGCATACAATTAATTAAGTGAAGACATACAGTTTGAATATACAGTTTTAACTCATTCCTTGAGTAAGTAACAAAGAACACTTCAGTACCAAGTTATAGATTCAGAACTGATTTAAATTAGTTCAGTGAAAAAGCAGAATATAACTGAGAATTCCCATGAAAAACGATTCAAATTATAAACTATCTCAAAATGTTTTCTGAAATACAAAAGATCTGCAGTCCAAAGCATTATTCCACAGAGTAGTTAAGCTTTCAAGAGCAGTTAAGACATTTGTGCTGCACCATAACCTTTAAATAAATGGGGGAGCAGTGGTGGGCAGTCTCTTTGCCTCATGTATCATTATTTATATTATGGTAGCACATAGGAATCCCAATCAATGATCAAAGCCCTGTTGGACAGACAATAATGACAACAGTCCCTGATCTAGAGAAACTAAAAGTACATACTTTTAGCAGCCAGGATAATTAACCTTTGGAACTTTTAACAGGCAATGTAGTGGATTACCCAACACTCGGAACCTTTAATCAAGAAGAGATGTCTTTCTAAAGAGATATCTTTTAGTTCAACCACAACTTATTGGACTGACTTTTTGGAATTACTGTATCGAATTCTGTGGCCTACATTCTGCCAGAGATCAGACTAGGCAAATGATCATAGTGGTCCTTCAGACATTAAAATCTTTGACTTACAGTCTTGCTGTCAGATAGGAAATGACAGGTGAGCAACACAGATAAATAGGGGGAAGATGGGCGGACAAGGTAACTAACTAAACAGTTTTGCAGAAAATCAAAATCTTGGCTTGTCGCTTGCCAAAATCAATTATCTTGGATTTGACTTTCAGTAAGTTTCTCTGAGTTTTAGTCTCAGAAATTTAGACTCATGAGTATGTAGGATAATGTGACCTGTTACGGTTTTCACCACATTTACAATATCAAAAGAGTATGAAAAGTGAGTGCAAGATTTTTCAACAACTCCATTACTAGTCTCCCTTCATTGCCTCCCAGATCTTGCTACAGTGTATTAGATGCAATGAGATCTACAATCACCTCTGGAGAGAGCTTTCAACAATAAAAGAAATGGTTTCAGTTGAAGTCAGTCAAGATAATTAACACGGATATCTGGGTCATGGAAACTTTCCATATGCTGGAAAGAAAAGCCATGAAAATAGCTCTAATGATATGTGCCTGCTTTATACTGTGTGCTAACTGTATTAACTTCTATTAACAGAGGAGAGATTACACTTGTGAAGATTAATTTACTGCCCTATGCTTTAAAGACAATTTCATTAGCACTAAGGACTACATGGGAGGGGGAGGTCAGTGGTTTGAGCATTGGCCTGCTAAACCCAGGGTTATGAGTTCAATCCTTGAGGAGGCCACTTAGGGATCTGGGGCAAAATCAGTACTTGGTCCTGCTAGTGAAGGCACGGGGCTGGACTCGATGACCTTTCAAGGTCCCTTCCAGTTCTAGGAGATGGGATATCTCCATTAAAAAAAAAATGTTTTGAATGCAATATTATGGATGAAAATTTTATACCACTGAAGTCAAGAAATTCAAAGTTATGGATCCTAAAATCAAACACTTCCCCTGTCACAGGGTGACACTGGTTCTTTAAGAGGGAGCAAAGCCAGTGGACCTGGTACAGGTCTGCTAACACCAGCTGAGCTTTAGAAGAAGGAACCTGGGCTTAGAGTGAGGGAGATCCAGGGACGCAGAGCTAGGAAGCAGGACTGCCAGAGTCCCCTGGGAGGGGAGTCAGTGACAGCCTGAGAAGTAAAGGGGAAAATCCCTTGAGAGTTATAGACCAGGGTGAGCTGAAGAACTGTTTTTGTTTGTTTTGCTTAAGTTTGGGGCAAATAAAAGACTGTTGGTGTGTTAATATGTCTTTGCAAGCTGTATGTGGCCTGCTTTGTTACACCCCCACTCTCCCTGCATTTATGCAGTATTTTGTACTGTTGTATATGCTGTTAAAATCTATTTCTTATACCGCAGATATGGGTGTCAAATTTTGTTTCCCACACCATATTTTACATTTCTCAACTTATGTGTTAAATTCTCTTTGCATTAAAGTTGGTTGTTTTGTAATCAATTTCCTTTTTTAAAAACAAAAAAACCCTAATCCCATGCTGAACTACACACAATTTTATCAATGTTCAATATGAGACTATGAATCTATCTGGAGCACAATCTTTAGGTTCGCTGAAGTGAATGCACATTCCAAATCTATTCTTCACATACCTCAGACATGTGTGCACATTTAGTGGAATGCCTATTCATTGAAATAAAATGCACCTGTGTTTAGTATATTGAAAACACCGCCAGAAATATTCCGATAGAACAATAGGTTTACTTTACACAGTACTTGCTTCTTTTCACAAGCGTGTTTTAGGACACACCATAATAAAAAAGAGAAATTGTCTCATGGTCTCTCTCGACCCATCCTCCAATTCATAACAACTCTGTATCAACTAGAGCAGTGTCTTAGATGGAAAGAGTAATAATAGGTAAATATTTTATGTATTTTTAGCTGCCCTTATGCTATTGTAAGTGGTTAGTGCTTTTTGAACAATGGATAATCACAATTTCTACTTTTATTTTTATTTTATTTGTTCACCCACCTGTTCTCTCTGCT